TGTATTATGAATTTTTAAGGCCAGACAAGTAATTTGGTGAGGTCAATTTGTAAAAAGACTACACGCCTGCGCGCATACATATTCAAACCTATAGACTAAACACGTGATACGCATGTGTACGCCGTCAGCTTTTCACAGATTCACGTTTTTGAAGTTTACATGGAGATGATAACATTTAATTTTTTTTTCAAAACTTGCACCTTGGAACCTGTTTCAAAGTTTGCGTTCTCAATCACCAAACACAGTTGTCATGCAAATGAACGGCCAGAACGCATTCAAAGTTTTCTGTTTTCTGTTAGAGCGGTGTCGTGTTAGCGGCCCCTAAGTTAATAACTAATGATCTTTGCAACGGAAGTGAATCAATCAAAAACTAACTTTAGCTGGACAATAACTTTATTCTAGAGCTGCTGTAAAGCCTAAACAATCTCTGTTATTTAATTTCCTGTTATCATTGTAAAGCTGCTTTGAAACAATGTGTATTGTTAAACGTGCTATATAAATGAAGGTGACTTAGCTTGACTTTGTGTTTCCTTCTGCGCTTGATTCTCACTGTCTCTCGGATCAGGTGTTTTATTACCACGAGAAGCCCTTTCCTCCGCTGGAGGGCCGCTTCACGAGGAAGGTGGAGTGGGCCGGAGACGTAACCGGACGCGACGCTTCTGTAGTGCTGCGGAAAGTGCCGTTTAGTTTCAACGGGACGTTCAGCTGTCAGGTGAAAAACCCTCCAGACGTGCACGGGAACGTTGGAGAGGTGCGTTTACGAGTCGTCACTACAGGTGAGCATTAGCTTTCGTTCTGTCTTTGGCTACGTCTACAAGTGGTGCTCACTGCAGAGCCACATGACATCCAGCTCCGCCTCTCTGGACGTCAGGGGTTGAGCTCGAACTAGTCCAGCTCCACCACTCTGGAGGTCATGGGTTGGGCTTGAACTAGTCCGGCTCCTCCTCTCTGGACGGCATGGGTTGGGCTCGAACTAGCCTGGCTCCACCTCTCTGGACGTCATGGGTTGGGCTTGAACTAGTCAGGCTCCTCCTCTCTGGACGGCATGGGTTGGGCTCGAACTAGTCTGGCTCCATCTCTCTGGAGGTAATGGGTTGAACTTGAACTAGTCTGGCTCCTCCTCTCTGGACGTCATGGGGTGGGCTCGAACTAGTCCGGCTCCTCCTCTCTGGACGGCATGGGTTGGGCTCGAACTAGTCCAGCTCCTCCTCTCTGGACGTCATGGGGTGAGCTTGAACTAGTCTGGCTCCACCTCTCTGTACGTCATGGATTGGGCTTGAACTAGTCCGGCTCCTCGTCTCTGGACGTCATAGGGTGGGCTTGAACTAGTCCGGCTCCACCTCTCTGGACGTCATGGGTTGAGCTTGAACTAGTCCGGCTCCTCGTCTCTGGACGTCATAGGGTGGGCTTGAACTAGTCCGGCTCCACCTCTCTGGACGTCATGGGTTGAGCTTGAACTAGTCCGGCTCCTCCTCTCTGGAGGTCATGGGGTGGGCTCGAACTAGTCCGGCTCCTCCTCTCTGGACATCATGGGGTGGCCTTGAACTAGTCCGGCTTCACCTCTCTGGACGTCATGGGTTGGGCTCTAACTAGTCCGGCTTCACCTCTCTGTACATCATGAGTTGGACTCGAACTAGTCCGGCTACACCTCTCTGGACGTCATGGGTTGGACTCGAACTAGTCCGGCTCCACCTCTCTGGACGTCATGGGTTGGGCTTGAACTAGTCCGGCTTCACTTCTCTGTACATCATGGGTTGGGCTCGAACTAGTTTGGCTCCACCTCTCTGGACGTCATGGGGTGGGCTCGAACTAGTCCGGCTCCACCTCTCTGGACGTCATGGGTTGGGCTCTAACTAGTCCGACTTCACCTCTCTGTATATCATGGGTTGGACTCGAACTAGTCCGGCTCCACCTCTCTGGACGTCATGGGTTGGGCTTGAAATAGTCCGGCTTCACCTCTCTGGACGTCATGGGTTGGGCTCTAACTAGTCCGGCTTCACCTCTCTGTACATCATGGGTTGGACTCGAACTAGTCCGGCTTCACCTCTCTGGACGTCATGGGGTGGGCTCGAACTAGTCCGGCTCCACCTCTCTGGACGTCATGGGTTGGGCTTGAACTAGTCCGGCTTCACTTCTCTGTACATCATGGGTTGGGCTCGAACTAGTTTGGCTCCACCTCTCTGGACGTCATGGGGTGGGCTCGAACTAGTCCGGCTCCACCTCTCTGGACGTCATGGGTTGGGCTCTAACTAGTCCGGCTTCACCTCTCTGTACATCATGGGTTGGACTCGAACTAGTCTGGCTCCTCTTCTCTGGACGTCATGGGGTGGGCTCGAACTAGTCCGGCTCCACCTCTCTGGACGTCATGGGTTGGGCTCTAACTAGTCCGGCTCCACCTCTCTGGACGTCATGGGTTGGGCTCTAACTAGTCCGGCTTCACCTCTCTGTACATCATGGGTTGGGCTCGAACTAGTTTGGCTCCTCATCTCTGGACATCATGGGGTGGGCTTGAACTAGTCCGGCTCCACCTCTCTGGACGTCACGGGTTGGGCTCTAACTAGTCCGGCTTCACCTCTCTGTACATCATGGGTTGGACTCGAACTAGTCCGGCTTCACCTCTCTGGACGTCATGGGGTGGGCTCGAACTAGTCCGGCTCCACCTCTCTGGACATCATGGGTTGGGCTTGAAATAGTCCGGCTTCAGCTCTCTGGACGTCATGGGTTGGGCTCTAACTAGTCCGGCTTCACCTCTCTGTACATCATGGGTTGGGCTCGAACTAGTTTGGCTCCTCATCCCTGGACATCATGGGGTGGGCTTGAACTAGTCCGGCTTCACCTCTCTGGACGTCATGGGTTGGGCTTGAACTAGTCCAGCTCCACCTCACTGGACGTCATGGGTTGGGCTCTAACTAGTCCAACTTCACCTCTCTGTACATCATGGGTTGGGCTCGAACTAGTTTGGCTCCTCATCTCTGGACATCATGGGGTGGGCTTGAACTAGTCTGGCTTCACCTCTCTGGACGTCATGGGTTGGGCTCTAACTAGTCCGGCTTCACCTCTCTGTACATCATGGGTTGGACTCGAACTAGTCCGGCTCCACCTCTCTGGACGTCATGGGTTGGGCTCTAACTAGTCCGGCTTCACCTCTCTGTACATCATGGGTTGGGCTCGAACTAGTTTGGCTCCACCTCTCTGGACGTCATGGGTTGGGCTCTAACTAGTCCGGCTTCACCTCTCTGTACATCATGGGTTGGGCTCGAACTAGTTTGGCTCCTCATCTCTGGACATCATGGGGTGGGCTTGAACTGGTCCGGCTCCACCTCTCTGGACGTCATGGGTTGGGTTCTAACTAGTCCGGCTTCACCTCTCTGGACATCATGGGGTGGGCTTGAAATAGTTCGGCTCCACCTCTCTGGACATCATGGGGTGGGCTTGAACTAGTCCGGCTCCACCTCTCTGGACGTCATGGGTTGGGCTCTAACTAGTCCGGCTTCACCTCTCTGTACATCATGGGTTGGGCTCGAACTAGTTTGGCTCCTCATCTCTGGACGTCATGGGTTGGACTCGAACTAGTCCGGCTCCACCTCTCTGGACGTCATGGGTTGGGCTTGAACTAGTCCGGCTTCACTTCTCTGTACATCATGGGTTGGGCTCGAACTAGTTTGGCTCCACCTCTCTGGACGTCATGGGGTGGGCTCGAACTAGTCCGGCTCCACCTCTCTGGACGTCATGGGTTGGGCTCTAACTAGTCCGACTTCACCTCTCTGTATATCATGGGTTGGACTCGAACTAGTCCGGCTCCACCTCTCTGGACGTCATGGGTTGGGCTTGAAATAGTCCGGCTTCACCTCTCTGGACGTCATGGGTTGGGCTCTAACTAGTCCGGCTTCACCTCTCTGTACATCATGGGTTGGACTCGAACTAGTCCGGCTTCACCTCTCTGGACGTCATGGGGTGGGCTCGAACTAGTCCGGCTCCACCTCTCTGGACGTCATGGGTTGGGCTTGAACTAGTCCGGCTTCACTTCTCTGTACATCATGGGTTGGGCTCGAACTAGTTTGGCTCCACCTCTCTGGACGTCATGGGGTGGGCTCGAACTAGTCCGGCTCCACCTCTCTGGACGTCATGGGTTGGGCTCTAACTAGTCCGGCTTCACCTCTCTGTACATCATGGGTTGGACTCGAACTAGTCTGGCTCCTCTTCTCTGGACGTCATGGGGTGGGCTCGAACTAGTCCGGCTCCACCTCTCTGGACGTCATGGGTTGGGCTCTAACTAGTCCGGCTCCACCTCTCTGGACGTCATGGGTTGGGCTCTAACTAGTCCGGCTTCACCTCTCTGTACATCATGGGTTGGGCTCGAACTAGTTTGGCTCCTCATCTCTGGACATCATGGGGTGGGCTTGAACTAGTCCGGCTCCACCTCTCTGGACGTCACGGGTTGGGCTCTAACTAGTCCGGCTTCACCTCTCTGTACATCATGGGTTGGACTCGAACTAGTCCGGCTTCACCTCTCTGGACGTCATGGGGTGGGCTCGAACTAGTCCGGCTCCACCTCTCTGGACATCATGGGTTGGGCTTGAACTGGTCCGGCTCCACCTCTCTGGACGTCATGGGTTGGGTTCTAACTAGTCCGGCTTCACCTCTCTGGACATCATGGGGTGGGCTTGAAATAGTTCGGCTCCACCTCTCTGGACATCATGGGGTGGGCTTGAACTAGTCCGGCTCCACCTCTCTGGACGTCATGGGTTGGGCTCTAACTAGTCCGGCTTCACCTCTCTGTACATCATGGGTTGGGCTCGAACTAGTTTGGCTCCTCATCTCTGGACGTCATGGGTTGGACTCGAACTAGTCCGGCTCCACCTCTCTGGACGTCATGGGTTGGGCTTGAACTAGTCCGGCTTCACTTCTCTGTACATCATGGGTTGGGCTCGAACTAGTTTGGCTCCACCTCTCTGGACGTCATGGGGTGGGCTCGAACTAGTCCGGCTCCACCTCTCTGGACGTCATGGGTTGGACTCGAACTAGTCTGGCTCCTCTTCTCTGGACATCATGGGGTGGGCTTGAACTAGTCCAGCTCCTCCTCTCTGGAGGTAATGGGTTGAACTTGAACTAGTCTGGCTCCTCCTCTCTGGACATCATGGGTTGAGCTCGAACTAGTCCGAGTCATTTGGCTCTGCAGTGAGCACCACTCATGCTCTCCATACACACCCCCTCAGCTAACAATAATATGTTCTAAAAATGTATGGCTTACATTCCCATTAAGTTATGAAATGTTACTTCTGAATGTTCTCTAAACGTTCAAAACATTCATGTTTTAAAAACCTTTCTTTGTTAAGGGAACATTCAATTGTATAATTCTGCAAACATCATGGGAACGTTAATATAGAATGTTCTGAAACAAGTAGGAAGAACTGTTCAACTAAAACGTTTCAGGTAAAAACATTTCATGAATGATGTATAAATAAGGTTTTTGTGCTAACATTTTGAGAACATTATTAAACACCAGATGAAGGTGTTTAATAATAACTTTGAACTAACGTTCTATTATTGTTACTGGAAGAGTGTTTGTTAATAATTTTGAGAAAACCTTGTCAGAATGTTTGCTAAACTTCTGATAATGATCCCTTTTAGCTGAGTAGCATTTTCAAGTGTTTTCCAAAAGTTTATCGCCCACACCGAAATGACGATAAATGCTAAAAACATATTACTGCGCAATAGTGTGTCTTGAAAAAGACATTTTCGCAGGACAAAACCACATCTCAGTGTGAAGGAAGGATAAATCGTAGAGGAACATGTGTTTTCAAAAGTTTTAATCAAGCGGCAACCTTCCCGTTTCTCTCTTGACTGTGACTGTGAGGGGGGTGCATTTTTTATAACTCCTCCGTTTAAATTATATTAAGCCTTAAAGTACTGCATAATTAAGGGCGTGGCCACTTGAGTGTCAGATGGATGGCCGCTGATGTCACTACTAGCCGTTTGTCTGCTAGCGTTAGCGTCACGTCACCTCAGCTAATCCGCCTCGCTGCACATGTTCGTTTATCCGGGAGTGACGCGGCCAAGATGGCGACGGCGGCTCCGCCCACTTTGGGCTTCAGAAATGCTCTTCAGAAACACTATGCGTGACTCACACACACTACGCACATATTCTTTACAGTCTATGGTTTTAATGTGTTATAATGTAGACTCAGCCTGAGAGTTTGTGTTTGCAGGTGTGAGTCGTTCATTCACATGATCTCCGTGTCGTTTCAGCCTCGCTCTCTGAGATTGTGATTCTCTGTGTGGCCACTGGAGGCGCTGTTCTGTTGGTTCTCCTGCTGGTGATGATGGTTGTGTCCGTGCGTCGCTGTCTCAGACGGAGGAACCCGGAGCAGAACCACACGATGCTCCGACAAGAGCAGAAGGTCCTGACGGGCTGGTGAGATCCGGAGGAAACCCGTTCGCTCGGAGAGATCGGATGAGCTTTGCGTCTCAAATCATTTCACATCACAAACTCACACTCAAAGACTGCCAGCTAACGCACCAGCAACTAGTAATCAAACAGGTTCATGTGGTTTCACTCCGACGTCCTGGTTTCCCAGTGATTGCCAGTTTTCTGGAGTTGGGTGCCTTCATCTGTAACTCTTTAGCAGTGCTGGGGAAAGTTACTTTGAAAAGTAATGCGTTACTCCTTTAAAAAGTAACTAATTGCGTTACTTAGTTACTTTTTTAGAAAAGTAATGCTTTACGTTACTTTTGCGTTACTTTTTCCCACCTGGACAGGGCTTGTTTTTTATAACAAAAAAGTCATATTTTTGGGCAAATGTAAAGACCCTTTCACACTAAAAGTGACATAATAATCCTCAGGCTGAAGGAAATGCAGATTCACTCCTGTACAGTAGAGGTACAGTAGAGTAGAGGTACAGTAGAGTAGAGTACAGTACAGTAGAGTACAGTAGAGTACAGTAGAGGTAGAGTACAGTAGAGTACAGTAGAGTACAGTATAGTACAGTAGTTTAAATTATAGTACAGTAGCGTACAATAGAGTTCATTATAGTACAGTAGTTTAAATTATAGTACAGTAGTGTATAGTACAGTAGCGTACAGTAGAGTTCATTATAGGACAGTAGTTTAAATTATAGTACAGTAGTGTAGAGTACAGTAGCGTACAGTAGAGTTCATTATAGGACAGTAGTTTAAATTATAGTACAGTAGTGTAGAGTACAGTAGAGTACAGTAGTGTATAGTACAGTAGCGTAAAGTAGAGTTCATTATAGTACAGTAGTTTAAATTATAGTACAGTAGTGTATAGTACAGTAGCGTACAGTAGAGTTCATTATAGTACAGTAGTTTAAATTATAGTACAGTAGTGTATAGTACAGTAGCGTACAGTAGAGTTCATTATAGTACAGTAGTTGAAATTATAGTACAGTAGTGTAGAGTACAGTAGAGTACAGTAGAGTACATTATAGTACAGTAGAGGGCGCCGCTCAAACCTTTCAACTGCTGTTCTGGATCATCGGAGGTCAGAGGCAAGTACATTGGTTTATAAAGTGAGATTAAATGCATAAAAATGTATGTTTTATTTAACATATTTAGTTATTGGAGGTTTGAATAGTATTCAGATTCTGCATTTCACTGATTTTATTCATTTTGAGGAATTTTAAATCTTTTTTTGTGTAAGTGAGATGCTCATAAATGCATATATTTAGTCTAGAACTACAATAACCATCATATTCACACACACACACACACACACACACGCACACGCTTACGTGCACACATATACGCTCACACACACACACACACACACACACACACACACACACACACACACACACACGCACGCACGCACACACAACACCTCTGCACTTTGATTTCTCTCAACATTAAAGCTGTCAGTCAATAAATGTGAAAAACAAAGTAACTTGAGTTATTTATTTGAAAAAGTAACTCAGATATTTTGTTGTAAATTTTAAAAGTAATGCGTTACTTTACTAGTTACTTGAAAAAAGTAATCTGATTACGTAACTCAAGTTACTTGTAATGAGTTCCACACAACACTGGTCGTCAGTCATGGTGTTATCAGCACTATTGCTCATATTCCTCTCACAGATCAGGTGTGTTTAGAAGCTCATGACGGCTTCTGCTTCCTCAGCACACGCACAGATCTGGCTCTCTCCTGTCAGTGATGAAGAACAGGTTTGCAGTGCTCTGGTAACGAGCAGACCTTGGTTGCTATGGTTACGCTATTCACTGTCCTGTAACTCTTGCACTGCTTTTGCACACACTGAATGATGAAGATGAGGATGAAGATGAGGATGATGAAGAGAGGTTTCACTGCAGGAACTGATGTCTGACGCCCCCTGTGTGTCAATCTGAGCACTGCACTCAAAACACACCCTGAATATCAACCAATGTACTTTAATAGTACTTTAATTCACAAAATATGTTTTAAATATTGGGATTTTTAATGACTTTTATGCGATGCAATAGTTCAGCATTAGGCGTTAAGAGACATTTTGGTTGAGCGCTATTCACACACACACACACACTCAACACACCAATGTTTTTCAGTGAATGTACATCAAAGAGATGATTGTGTCATTTCATGTTATTTGCATTTCTGTTCTTGAGTTTTATCATAAAAAAAATAAACATTAAGAAATTGGTCATGCTCATAATGTGCCATATAACACACACACACACACACACACACACACACACACACACACACACACACACACACACACACACACACACACACACACACACACACACACACACACACACACACACACACACACACACACACACACACACACACACACACACACACACACACACACACATCATATGGTTTGTTCAGGCTATCATAATATATATGACTGAAGCTCATCAGCGCCCTCTAGTGCGCAGGCGCTGCTAAACAGCCTCTGTCACGTGTCACCGGTCACATGATCCACTTTCCCCAGCCTCTCAGGAAAGATCATTATTATTACTGGAATAGACGTTTAAAATCATTTTATAGGGAAATGTTCCGGAGAATTTCTAGTTTTACTTCAGAGATCAATGCGTGGCATTATATTTAAATTAGTACTTGTTGGGGTGAAAATGAAAACCGCAGTAATGCAGCGCCACCCTGAGAAACTGTTTCACGGTCATTAGTGACAGATCTTCATTATATCAGTCCTTTAAAGATAATTTATCCTTAATAGGAAACAACATAAACTTAATCTCAGAATAAACCAAAAGCACAAGAGTCTTTAATATAAAACAGCACGTGATCTTTACACGACACTAATTAAATCTGAGTAATCCTACTTTATAGCTGACATTAAACTGATTTAATGACATTTTAATTAATTGTTAATATAATCTGATATAAAAACCCTTAGGTCAGAAAGAGAGAGTTTATATCACACTCATCACGGCTGATAATATTAATAATAATATATTACAGATATAGTATAATACATTCCTGCACTGGTTTTAATAGAGTTTTGCTAGTTTAATAAGAGGTTTTCAGAGATTAATAAGAAGTTTTGCTAGTTTAATAAGAGGTTTTGAGAAATTAATAGTGATTTTGGCGTGTTTTCAGAGTTGTATTTGAACTTCCTGTTTCACCTGTTCGGCAGGTAATATTATACTCTCAAACATGGAGGACAATCACAAACCAGGGACATAAACGAGGCTCATATCTGCTGTAATATCTGCTCATATCAGCTCTACTCGCTGTGTGTGATCATACACGGCTGTTATTGATCATACACGGCTGTTATTGATCATACTCGCTGTTGTTGATCATACTCGCTGTTGTTGACCATGGACGCGAAGGGAAGCTCGTCCACGGGAGTTGTGTCGTGTGTTTGCGTCGCTCTCGGTGAGTTTCGCTGGTTACTCTTCCGTCATACACACATCTCTCAGGGGTTTGATGAGGTGGGTTTTGTTTCTGAGAGACTGTAAATCTATAACCTGGTGTCATTTGAGATGTTTTACTTTCTGTTTTGTGTGAATATAGCCTGTCAATCATCTGCCGTATGTAAACATTACAGACATGTAACATTCCTCTGATTTACATTGCGAACTCAACAGGCATATTAAACTGGCAACCCTTTACAGGCAGGGTTAATGCATTAACTAACAATACAAACACTTTCTGCAGTGTTTATTCATCTTTGTTAACGTCAGTAAAAATGCAACTGTTCATTGTTTGTTCATGATAACAGATGCAGCTTAATGTGTTAGTAAATGCTGAATCCACATTATATGCTTCAGAAGTATTTGTCATGTACTAATGTAGGTTATTAATGTTAACAAACGCAACCTTGTTGTAAAGTGTGGCTTCTGTCATGTCTGTCTGGTGTTTGTTCCCTTATTTGAACTTATTTGAAGCCATGTCAACTCACCCGGAAGAAAGAAATGAATGAAGATGAAAGGCAAAATATTAAACGTCATGGATGTATATTCACTGATCCACTGTTTTGTAGAGTCAAACTTACAATTTTACAATCTGGGCACCATAAATATTGTTCACGAGAGCCACGACACACACTCACACTCACACTCACACACACACACACACACACACACACACACACACACACACACACACACACACACACACACACACACACACACACACACACACACACACACACACACAGTGGGCCTCGAGTGAGTTCACGAGAGCCACGACACACACTCACACTCACACACACACACACACACACACACACACACACACACACACACACACACACACACACACACACACACACACAGTGGGCTCCGAGTGAGTTCACGAGAGCCACGACACACACACACACACACACACACACACACACACACACACACACACACACACACACACACACACACACACACACACACACACACAGTGGGCCTCGAGTGAGTTCACGAGAGCCACGACACTCACACACACTCACTCACTCACACTCTCACACACACACTCTCACACTCACACTCTCACAGACACACACACACTCACACTCTCACAGACACACACACACCCTCTCACGCACACTCTCACAGACACACAAACACAGTTCGGATGAAGTGGAAGCATGATGATGTCACAGGCCCGTCCCAGAAGTGACATCATCAGAGGATCACTGGATCACTCACTCACTCACTCACTCAGTCTCAGACACACACTCACACACACACACACACACACACACACACTCTCTCACACACTCACACACACACACACACACACTCTCTCACACACTCACTCACTCACACACACTCTCACACACACACTCTCACACTCACACTCTCACAGACACACACACACCCTCTCACAGACACACACACACACACACACACAGTTCGGATGAAACGGAAGCATGATGATGTCACAGGCCCGTCCCAGAAGTGACATCATCAGAGGATCTCACACACACGGTTAGATTAAACTCAGTCACCTTTATTTCCTCAGGACTGGTCATAACTCTAACGTAAACTCTAGTTTGCTGTAATCTGCTCTGATAGTTATTATAACACAACGCAGTGATTGTGTGTGTGACACGGCTCTGATTATAACTGTGTGTGTGTGAGGCTAGTTTACAGTGTTTCTCGTCGGTCACTGATAAACCACTCCTGTGTTTGATTATGAGTTTGCAGTTTATGATTTTTATTATTCTGAGGAACTGAATATCAGATATGACAGATATCTGATTCATATGCTGGCCCGTTTACAGTCAGCAATCTACACTAATGAACTCGAGCTCTTTAACGAGAGAGGACCAAACTGCAGCGCTTGTAATAAACAGAATGATGTAATATATGTATATGGCTCTTGGTTTGAACGGGTCTTAAAGGGATAGTTCACCATTAGCCCATGATTTACTCTCACTCGACTCATCCCAGTGTGTGTGACACTTTTCTGTCACACACACACCATCAGAGTTATGTTAGAAAATGTCCTGGCTCTTCCAAGCTTTATAAGGGGAGTGAATGGCTGTTTCTGTTTGGAAGTCCATAAAAGTGCATCTATCCATCATAAAAGTGCACTTTTATGATGGACAGATGCACTTTTATGATGGATAGATGCACTTTTATGATGGACAGATGCACTTTTATGATGGACAGATGCACTTTTATGATAGACAGATGCACTTTTATGATGGATAGATGCACTTTTATGATGGACAGATGCACTTTTATGATGGACAGATGCACTTTTATGATGGACGGATGCACTTTTATGATGGACGGATGCACTTTTATGATGGACGGATGCACTTTTATGATGGACGGATGCACTTTTATGATGGACGGATGCACTTTTATGATGGACAGATGCACTTTTATGATGGACAGATGCACTTTTATGATGGATAGATGCACTTTTATGATGGATAGATGCACTTTTATGATAGACAGATGCACTTTTATGATGGACGGATGCACTTTTATGATGGACGGATGCACTTTTATGATGGACAGATGCACTTTTATGATGGACAGATGCACTTTTATGATGGACAGATGCACTTTTATGATGGACAGATGCACTTTTATGATGGACAGATGCACTTTTATGATGGACGGATGCACTTTTATGATGGACAGATGCACTTTTATGATGGACAGATGCACTTTTATGATGGATAGATGCACTTTTATGATGGATAGATGCACTTTTATGATAGACAGATGCACTTTTATGATGGATAGATGCACTTTTATGATGGACAGATGCACTTTTATGATGGACAGATGCACTTTTATGATGGACAGATGCACTTTTATGATGGACAGATGCACTTTTATGATGGACAGATGCACTTTTATGATGGACAGATGCACTTTTATGATAGACAGATGCACTTTTATGATGGACAGATGCACTTTTATGATGGACAGATGCACTTTTATGATGGACAGATGCACTTTTATGATGGACAGATGCACTTTTATGATAGACAGATGCACTTTTATGATGGATAGATGCACTTTTATGATAGACAGATGCACTTTTATGATGGACAGATGCACTTTTATGATGGACAGATGCACTTTTATGATGGACAGATGCACTTTTATGATGGACGGATGCACTTTTATGATGGACAGATGCACTTTTATGATAGACAGATGCACTTTTATGATGGAAAGATGCACTTTTATGATGGACTGATGCACTTTTATGATGGACAGATGCACTTTTATGATGGATAGATGCACTTTTATGATGGATAGATGCACTTTTATGATAGACAGATGCACTTTTATGATGGAAAGATGCACTTTTATGATAGACAGATGCACTTTTATGATAGGATAGATGCACTTTTATGATAGACAGATGCACTTTTATGATGGATAGATGCACTTTTATGATGGACTGATGCACTTTTATGATGGACAGATGCACTTTTATGATGGACTGATGCACTTTTATGATGGACAGATGCACTTTTATGATGGATAGATGCACTTTTATGATAGACAGATGCACTTTTATGATGGACAGATGCACTTTTATGATAGACAGATGCACTTTTATGATAGGATAGATGCACTTTTATGATAGACAGATGCACTTTTATGATGGATAGATGCACTTTTATGATGGACTGATGCACTTTTATGATGGACAGATGCACTTTTATGATGGATAGATGCACTTTTATGATGGATAGATGCACTTTTATGATAGACAGATGCACTTTTATGATAGGATAGATGCACTTTTATGATAGACAGATGCACTTTTATGATGGATAGATGCACTTTTATGATGGACTGATGCACTTTTATGATGGATAGATGCACTTTTATGATAGACAGATGCACTTTTATGATGGACAGATGCACTTTTATGATAGACAGATGCACTTTTATGATAGGATAGATGCACTTTTATGATAGACAGATGCACTTTTATGATGGATAGATGCACTTTTATGATGGACTGATGCACTTTTATGATGGATAGATGCACTTTTATGATAGACAGATGCACTTTTATGATAGGATAGATGCACTTTTATGATAGACAGATGCACTTTTATGATGGATAGATGCACTTTTATGATGGACTGATGCACTTTTATGATGGACTGATGCTCTTTTATGATGGATAGATGCACTTTTATGATGGACGGATGCACTTTTATGATAGACAGATGCACTTTTATGATGGATAGATGCACTTTTATGATAGACAGATGCACTTTTATGATAGGATAGATGCACTTTTATGATAGACAGATGCACTTTTATGATGGATAGATGCACTTTTATGATGGACTGATGCACTTTTATGATGGACTGATGCACTTTTATGATGGACAGATGCACTTTTATGATGTATAGATGCACTTTTATGATAGACAGATGCACTTTTATGATGGATAGATGCACTTTTATGATAGACAGATGCACTTTTATGATGGACTGATGCACTTTTATGATGGATAGATGCACTTTTATGATAGACAGATGCACTTTTATGATAGGATAGATGCACTTTTATGATAGACAGATGCACTTTTATGATGGATAGATGCACTTTTATGATGGACTGATGCACTTTTATGATGGACAGATGCACTTTTATGATGGACTGATGCACTTTTATGATGGACTGATGCTCTTTTATGATGGATAGATGCACTTTTATGATGGACGGATGCACTTTTATGATGGATAGATGCACTTTTATGATAGACGGATGCACTTTTATGATGGACGGATGCACTTTTATGATGGACAGATGCACTTTTATGATGGACGGATGCACTTTTATGATGGATAGATGCACTTTTATGATGGATAGATGCAATTTTGTGATGGACGGATGCACTTTTATGATGGATAGATGCACTTTTATGATGGACGGATGCACTTTTATGATGGACGGATGCACTTTTATGATGGACAGATGCACTTTTATGATGGAAAGATGCACTTTTATGATGGACAGATGCACTTTTATGATGGACGGATGCACTTTTATGATGGACAGATGCACTTTTATGATGGACAGATGCACTTTTATGATGGACAGATGCACTTTTATGATGGACAGATGCACTTTTATGATGGATAGATGCACTTTTATGATGGACAGATGCACTTTTATGATGGATAGATGCACTTTTATGATGGACAGATGCACTTTTATGATGGATAGATGCACTTTTATGATGGACAGATGCACTTTTATGATGGATAGATGCACTTTTATGATGGACAGATGCACTTTTATGATGGATAGATGCACTTTTATGATGGACGGATGCACTTTTATGATTGACAGATGCACTTTTATGATGGATAGATGCACTTTTATGGACTTCCAAACAGAAACAGCCATTCACTGCCATTATAAAGCTCGGAAGAGCCAGCACATTTTTTTTAGATAACTCTGATTGTGTGCGTCTGACAGAAGAGTGTCATAAACACCTAGGATGACTTCAGGGAGAGTAAATCATGGGGTAAATTAATTTTTTTGGGTGAACTATCCCTTTAACAGTGATTGTGTGTGTGTGTGTCAGTGCTGTTGAGGAGTGTGTGTTGTATCTCAGTAACGGCTCCAGCAGAGGTCAGTGCTGTTCGAGGATCGGCCGTCACCCTGTCCTGCTCCTTCAGCTCCTCCAGTTCCGTCACCAGCGCCATGTCCGTCGACTGGAGCTTCCGGCCCGTGCGCGGCGGCCCGGACCATACGGTGAGGAGCGCACACACACACACACACATGAATCATGGATCTCTGGTCTGATGGCGCACTCAGGGGTCAGAGGTCACTCGCGGTCACATGGGCAGGATCTGCTGAAAGCTTGTCGACCACAGCGTCCATCAGGAGATCGTAAAGCTGGGAATCACTCAGCACACCATATCTATCTATCACACCCTTGCAGGAAAACCACTGATGTGTTTCAGTAGGGATGCACAGATATCAACATTTTGGTTGTTAATATAATTATTTATATTTGAAAGCTGATAACTGATATATTGGCCGATAAATCTAAATCCAAATTTGTATATAATTTTTGAGACCCTGATAGCAAAAATAAGTCTCACCATTAAAAGCCACGTCTCAAACACACAATTATAATGTTCTCATCGTTTTATGTAGGATATGACAGACTTACCTGTCGCACTGAACTGTATTTACCTTTTTTGAAGTGATTCAAATCATATTTCAGTTCAGATCCATCATGTTGAACAGTGTAAATCTGAAGCGTTAGGAAATAATACATTATTCATCGGCTTTAATGTATCGGCCAACGCAAACACATGTTCTCAATGATGGTGTTGATTGAAGCGTATAGAGTGAGTATTGAGAGATCGAGTAAGTGTGTGTTCCTGCATTATAGTAGACGGGTCAATATTCCTCATAAAGAATCCGATTGAATGTCCGCTGTCCTTTAACAGTCATGGGTTTCCCCGAGCCGGTGGTCATGTGTCAGTAGTGTCTTCCTTCTCCGTGATCACACAAGTTTGAGTCCTTTGAATATAAAGTCTTCTCTACGGACGACGCACTCATAAAGACAGTGTGTGTCTCCTGTATGCTGTAATAATGTGTGTTACTTCTGTTGCTGTTCACGTCAGGGACTATTTCTTCCAGCGGAAGGAAGGCTTTTAGTGATTGTACTTTATGAAAGTTGCATTGATACACATTTTTTGGCTTTAATATTTGTATTGTGTGGTAATGGATTTATAAAAGCCGCAGAACGCCCTCAGCGATACAGCATTATTGCTTACACACACACCGGCCGGTGTTTCATGCATCCCTATAATCCCTATATTTCAGCAGTTTTTAGGATGGTTTGGTAAAGGATCTCTGTCCATTGACTGCAGTGACATCTGTGTGTTCCTCTGTAGTTCTTCCACTTCTCGTCTCAGGCGTACCCGCCGCTGGAGGATTACTTTAAGGACCGTGTGAAGTGGCTGGGCAGCCCGTCCGGGGGAGACGCTTCTATCCAGCTCCTGAACGCCTCGCTCAGCGATAACGGCACCTACACCTGTGCCGTACGCAACCCTCCCGACGTGCAGGGAAGCCCAGCGCAGACCGTGCTCAGCGTCACGCCACAGAGTGAGCACACACACACACACACACACACACACACGCGTGTGATCACCAATGTCTTCCTCAGAACTAAAGTCATGTTATCCCTTACAACTCATCTTTGATCACCAAAATGACATATTTAAAAAAAAAAAAAATCCTTTTTCTTCATGCCTTAAAATATCTTGAATGTAACTCGACACCCTTGCCTCATTTAGTATGCGCGGTTCTATGAATATGCAAATGAGCCCCGCCTCCAAAGTGACTCCTAGTCAACAGAATGTTCAAAAGGGACCATCAAAATAAAGTGTTACTGAAAAACGTTCCACAAACAATGTATAGGCAAAATAACGTTTTGAGAACATTATTAAAGACCAGATAACTTTGAATGAACGCTATATTAACGTTACTGCAAGAAGACTGTCACAATTGTTTGTATGGACGCTTATGTTGAAGTGCCTTTTCTGTTCTCATGGTCTCCTGTCTCTCCTTGCTGTCATATTAGTCGTTATAATTACCGTCATTAAACACACCTGCAGTTAATTATCTACTTATTGTTCTGTGTAGTCAATTTTATTAATAGTTTTAGCCCTTAAAACTCATCTTTGATCACCAAAATTACATATTTAAACGTTTTTTCCTTGAAAGAAATGTGGTCATGCCTTAAAATATCTTGAATGTAACTCGACACCCTTGCCTCATTTAGTATGCGCGGTTCTATGAATATGCAGATGAGCCCCGCCTCCACTCACTCACTCAGCTCAGAGATCCACTGGTTGACGATCACACGTTGATCTGATTGGTTACAAGGTCGTTTGTGACGTCAGAAACACCAGCGATTTCAAACCGTGTTTTTGAGACTGTCTTTGGTTCACTGCAGTTTTAAGGAGGAAATACTCAGCAATGCTGTCGACTTATGAACTTACACACGGTGTGTCTTAAAGGTGAGATATTATGCTCCTTTTCACAAGATGTAATATAAATCTATGGTGTCCCAGAATGTGCCTGTGAAATTTCAGCTCAAAATATTCCACAGATCATTTTGGGTGTGAGCAAAAACATGCCGTTTGTGTGTGTTCCTTTAAATGCAAATGAGCTTTAGCTCCGCCTCCGTTATAGCACGTACACGCGGAGGAACTCAGATGTTCATGGATATGTCCCCTTTAAAGCATAGTAAAAACACCTCATATAAAAACATTAAAAGCTGTATTTTCACCACAGGAGGGCTTTAAGTGACACCAGCCTAATAAAAACACATTTTATACAGTACATTGAATCCAAAGCGACTTGCATTGCACTCAAGGTTCACGTTTCCGTTAGATGAGTTGTTCCCTCTCCAGTTTGCTCACGCGTGCCTCTGTGTGTCTGTCAGGACTCTCGCTGGCGTTCACGGATGTGGGTGTGTTGCTGGTGTTTGTCCTGGTCCCGTCAGGAATCATCACACTCCTCCTGCTGGGCCGGATCCTGTGTCCGTGTTCCCCCGAGAGCCCGGTTCCCGTGGCGACCCATCACTCGCCCATCGAGGAGCTCGCCGGGTAAGAAACCAGTGCCTGAACCAGTGCCTCCAGAGCAGTGCTGTGCTGTGACTGACGAGTGTGTGTCTCCGACAGGGAGGAGTATCTCTACGGGACGCAGAAGGAAACCTCCATGTGCTGCTGTTACTTTAAGGTAAGCCACCGTCTGGCCTGAGCAGGAACTGTTCACATGAGACGTCATTCGGACTGATATCGGTATAGAGCTGGTTTTGATGAGCTGTTTCCACCCGCCTATTTTCGTTGTTTCATCCGATAATAAACGCTACACTGGAAACACATTTCCTGAATGAATCCCTCGATGTGTGAAGGCTGTGATTGGATAACTGGAGTAACCAGCGGACCAATGGCGTCGCAGCGTCTCTAATGTTGGTTTGGTGTTTCTGAAACGCCGGAGTCGGAGTGTGTGATCATGATTGGGTGTAATTCCCTCCAGAAGCGTCTCACACACACTCGTTCATGATGACGCTCGACACACACTCGCTCATGATGACGCTCGACACACACTCGTTCATGATGACGCTCGACACACACTCGTTCATGATGACGCTCGACACACACTCGTTCATGATGACGCTCGACACACACTCGTTCATGATGACGCTCGACACACACTCGTTCATGATGACGCTCGACACACACTCGCTCATGATGACGCTCGACACACACTCGCTCATGATGACGCTCGACACACACTCGTTCATGATGACGCTCGACACACACTCGTTCATGATGACGCTCGACACACACTCGCTCATGATGACGCTCGACACACACTCGTTCATGATGACGCTCGACACACACTCGCTCATGATGACGCTCGACACACACTCGTTCATGATGACGCTCGACACACACTCGCTCATGATGACGCTCGACACACACTCGTTCATGATGACGCTCGACACACACTCGTTCATGATGACGCTCGACACACACTCGTTCATGATGACGCTCGACACACACTCGCTCATGAAGACGCTCGACACACACTCGTTCATGATGACGCTCGACACACACTCGTTCATGATGACGCTCGACACACACTCGTTCATGATGACGCTCGACACACACTCGCTCATGATGACGCTCGACACACACTCGCTCATGATGACGCTCGACACACACTCGTTCATGATGACGCTCGACACACACTCGTTCATGATGACGCTCGACACACACTCGTTCATGATGACGCTCGACACACACTCGCTCATGATGACGCTCGACACACACTCGTTCATGATGACGCTCGACACACACTCGCTCATGATGACGCTCGACACACACTCGTTCATGATGACGCTCGACACACACTCGTTCATGATGACGCTCGACACACACTCGTTCATGATGACGCTCGACACACACTCGTTCATGATGACGCTCGACACACACTCGTTTATGATGACGCTCGACACACACTCGCTCATGATGACGCTCGACACACACTCGTTCATGATGACGCTCGACACACACTCGTTCATGATGACGCTCGACACACACTCGCTCATGATGACGCTCGACACACACTCGTTCATGATGACGCTCGACACACACTCGTTCATGATGACGCTCGACACACACTCGTTCATGATGACGCTCGACACACACTCGTTCATGATGACGCTCGACACACACTCGCTCATGATGACGCTCGACACACACTCGCTCATGATGACGCTCGACACACACTCGCTATGATGACGCTCGACACACACTCGTTATGATGACGCTCGACACACACTCGTTCATGATGACGCTCGACACACACTCGCTCATGATGGCGCTCGACACACACTCGCTCATGATGACGCTCGACACACACTCGCTCATGATGACGCTCGACACACACTCGCTCATGATGACGCTCGACACACACTCGCTCATGATGACGCTCGACACACACTCGTTCATGATGACGCTCGACACACACTCGCTCATGATGACGCTCGACACACACTCGCTCATGATGACGCTCGACACACACTCGTTCATGATGACGCTCGACACACACTCGTTCATGATGACGCTCGACACACACTCGTTCATGATGACGCTCGACACACACTCGCTCATGATGACGCTCGACACACACTCGTTCATGATGACGCTCGACACACACTCGCTCATGATGACGCTCGACACACACTCGTTCATGATGACGCTCGACACACACTCGTTCATGATGACGCTCGACACACACTCGTTCATGATGACGCTCGACACGCACTCGTTCATGATGACGCTCGACACGCACTCGTTCATGATGACGCTCGACACACACTCGTTCATGATGACGCTCGACACACACTCGCTCATGATGACGCTCGACACACACTCGCTCATGATGACGCTCGACACACACTCGTTCATGATGACGCTCGACACACACTCGTTCATGATGACGCTCGACACACACTCGTTCATGATGACGCTCGACACACACTCGCTCATGATGACGCTCGACACACACTCGTTCATGATGACGCTCGACACACACTCGCTCATGATGACGCTCGACACACACTCGTTCATGATGACGCTCGACACACACTCGTTCATGATGACGCTCGACACACACTCGTTCATGATGACGCTCGACACACACTCGTTCATGATGACGCTCGACACACACTCGTTCATGATGACGCTCGACACACACTCGTTTATGATGACGCTCGACACACACTCGCTCATGATGACGCTCGACACACACTCGTTCATGATGACGCTCGACACACACTCGTTCATGATGACGCTCGACACACACTCGCTCATGATGACGCTCGACACACACTCGTTCATGATGACGCTCGACACACACTCGTTCATGATGACGCTCGACACACACTCGTTCATGATGACGCTCGACACACACTCGTTCATGATGACGCTCGACACACACTCGCTCATGATGACGCTCGACACACACTCGCTCATGATGACGCTCGACACACACTCGCTATGATGACGCTCGACACACACTCGTTATGATGACGCTCGACACACACTCGTTCATGATGACGCTCGACACACACTCGCTCATGATGGCGCTCGACACACACTCGCTCATGATGACGCTCGACACACACTCGCTCATGATGACGCTCGACACACACTCGCTCATGATGACGCTCGACACACACTCGCTCATGATGACGCTCGACACACACTCGTTCATGATGACGCTCGACACACACTCGCTCATGATGACGCTCGACACACACTCGCTCATGATGACGCTCGACACACACTCGTTCATGATGACGCTCGACACACACTCGTTCATGATGACGCTCGACACACACTCGTTCATGATGACGCTCGACACACACTCGCTCATGATGACGCTCGACACACACTCGTTCATGATGACGCTCGACACACACTCGCTCATGATGACGCTCGACACACACTCGTTCATGATGACGCTCGACACACACTCGTTCATGATGACGCTCGACACACACTCGTTCATGATGACGCTCGACACGCACTCGTTCATGATGACGCTCGACACGCACTCGTTCATGATGACGCTCGACACACACTCGTTCATGATGACGCTCGACACACACTCGTTCATGATGACGCTCGACACGCACTCGTTCATGATGACGCTCGACACACACTCGTTCATGATGACGCTCGACACACACTCGTTCATGATGACGCTCGACACACACTCGTTCATGATGACGCTCGACACACACTCGCTCATGATGACGCTCGACACACACTCGCTCATGATGACGCTCGACACACACTCGCTCATGATGACGCTCGACACACACTCGCTCATGATGACGCTCGACACACACTCGTTCATGATGACGCTCGACACACACTCGTTCATGATGACGCTCGACACACTCGTTCATGATGACGCTCGACACACACTCGTTCATGATGACGCTCGACACACACTCGCTCATGATGACGCTCGACACACACTCGTTCATGATGACGCTCGACACACACTCGTTTATGATGACGCTCGACACACACTCGTTCATGATGACGCTCGACACACACTCGTTCATGATGACGCTCGACACACACTCTCTCATGATGACGCTCGACACACACTCGTTTATGATGACGCTCGACACACACTCGTTCATGATGACGCTCGACACACACTCGTTCATGATGACGCTCGACACACACTCGTTCAGCTCGACACACACTCGTTCATGATGGAGGGAAGCAGCCGATTGCAGAAACTCAGTTTATCACTGATATTCTGCACCAGATAGTGATGAGTTTGTTCTCTTGAACACATGGTAGCTGTGTGTGTTTACATCCAAAGTTGCGAATTTAACTTCCATACAGACACAGTTATTGAACTGAATCAACACTGAACTGGATTGATCTGAATTATGGCACTTGTGTTTTTAGAGCTGCTTTACAGCTGAGTTTGAATTTTTCTCATATCTGATGAAGTTTGCATCATTGATTCTGTTATTTTCCTGTTTTTAACCCTCTGGGGACCAAGAACACACCGGTGCGTTTTGGCAGATTTTTTTCACATAGAAAAATAGACTTAAACTACTCCATCATTTCTGGTCATACAGAGTTAAGACGTATTAAAAAATAAACTGTTAAATGTCTACATTTTTATGTGCCCACCTACAATCGAAATAAAAAAATATTGTGCTTTTGTAAAATAAAGAAAAAAAACAGGGTGTGCGTTCTGCCTCTCCATGTCCGTGAACCTTTTTTCTGGAGCACGTCTCTAAACTTAAAACAAAACTCAGCTAAAGTATAAAGTTTTAACTCTAAAATAGACATCAAATAAGCTTTTGTTAGCAGTTTCTGCTCATATGTTAAATATATAGTGTTTTGTCAATAAACTAATCAACTAAGAATAGTGTTTGTTCCAATGCAAGCTATATCAAAATAATGAATCCTTAACTTTGAAATATGTATGATAAAATGTATTGACCTACTAAGAGACAATTTTCTTTTCAAGATGTTTCCAACTCTAACTTTGAACCAATTCTGTAGAATGGCCCATATAACCTATTTGAACAGGATTTGTTTTCAGGTATGACTAAAAATATGCTTTTGACTTTTATTTATATTTTGATTTGATATATATATATATGTGTGTGTGTGTGTGTATATATGTGTATATGTGTATATATATATATATTGTCCTTGCATTCTTTCTTGTGTGACACACCTGAATGAAAGGCTTATTATGCAGGTCTTTTGTCTTCTCAGGTGAGAACCACCTAATTATTGACAATGGGGTTGGGCCGTTCACGCCCATTCGCATATTGCCTTGGCTAACAAAAAATGTTTTTCACAATTTAAAAGAATCTATGGTGTTATGTGAATGATTAGGCAGGGTGATTTTCAGATCATCTTGAAGCAAAAACTCTAGGCCACAACTTCCATTAGTCAAAAGTCTTGTGTACACAGATATTTAGTATGTGTTTTGTGGCTTGATTTCAGAAACTTTAATTTTTAGTTTTTTCAATAACCATGCATAAACAATATTCTCTCAAAAATACAAACATGTACATACATGTTGCTCACACATTATGGTAGTCCTGTTTGTGCTAAATAGAGTGTAATCTCACCTGTGCCATTAATATGTTTATAAGCAACTGAAAAAAGCACAAATGTCAGGGCATGTCAAAACATCTCAAGGACCCCAAAAACACCTTGGTCCCCAGAGGGTTAATCAATCTATTCTGTATTGTATAAAGTGCTATAGAAATAAAGCTGACTGTGGTGTTTGTTTCAGGGCTCTGAATATGAAGACGACTACATGCAAGAGAAACCGCACGAACTCACCTTCACCGAGTCCCAGTGTTAGATAAACTCCTTCTGTGTGTGTGTGTGTGTGTGTGTGTGTGTGTGTGTGTGTGTGTGTGTGTGTGTGTGTGTGTGTGTGTGTGTGTGTGTGTGTGTGTGTGTGTGTGTGTGCACGCGTGTGTGTGTGGTTCTTGCATGGATAAAGTTTGATAAACCCAGACATCATTCTACTGCTGAGACTTCCTGTTTTGAGTGGGTAATTTTGGTTATTTATAACGATGGACTGTTACTGTAATCTATGAATTAAATGACGATAACAGATGAGAGAAGACAAGCTGATTTGATATGAATGATTCTGCATTCAGCATCTTAAGGTTCTTGCACGCCGAGTCTGAAGAACCTGAGTGAATTTCGAACTCGTTGTGCAAAGATCTTTAGGTGGGTCACATGAGAGATTCGAGTGATCTGATTGGCTGATTCTGTTTCCTGAGATCCTGCATGTTTTACCATTTATTTTCACCCTGATAAAAAAAGACGTTTGTACAAATCTATTTTGTTTAGATATAATATGAAATATAACTTTAACATTATTAACTATTTTTTATGAACTAATTATTTTTTATAATTCACATAAAACCACCATAGAACAGCGTTAGCATTCAAAAGTCTGTCGCCGTTTGGACAAAGGTTTTATTCCTGACGGCGACACTGCCAATTTCATCTGTTTGATTAAAGAAAAAGCTTTAAGTTAATACTAAAATATGACCTACATGTTCATTTCCACACTGTATAATATCTGTGAATGCAGTTTTTAACTCTCCAAACAGGGTGTAGTAGTTTTCACTGTATTTGCTGAAGCTTAAGGTAAAATGTAATATAGCATAAAAGAATATACAAAATATAAATAAATGATATTTGCATTAAACGCACATCTGAATCTGATCTCCTGAATCTCCAAAAATGATGTTTTATTAACAAAGTTTGAGAGGAACATGTTCAAATTCTCTATCCAATCAGCACGAGAGGAGGCCTATATACACTATATTGCCAAAAGTTTTGGGACTTCTGCCCTTACACGCACATGAACTTTAATGACATCGCATTCCTGATCCGTAGGGTTTAATATGGAGTTGCTCCACCCTTTGCTGCTATAACAGCTTCAACTCTTCTGGGAAGGCTTTCCACAAGGGTTAGGAGTGTGTTTATGGGGATGTTTGACCATTCTTCTAGAAGTGCGTTAGTGAGGTCCGGCACTGATGTTGGATGAGAAGCTCTCAGTCTCCGCTGTAACTCATCCCAAAGCTGTTCTATCGGGTCGAGCTCAGGACTCTGTGCAGCCAGTCCAGTTCCTCCACGCCAAACTCCTCATCCATGTCTTTATGGTCCTGCTTTGTGCACTAGAGCGCAGTCATGCTGGAACAGGAACTTCCACAAACTCTTCCCACAAAGTTGGAGCATGAAACTGTCTAAAATATTTTGGTCTGCTGAAGCATTAAGAGTTCCTTTCACTGGAACTAAGAGGCCAAGCCTGAAAAACACCCCCACACCATAATCCCCCCTCCACCAAACAACCCCACACCATAATCCCCCCTCCACCAAACAACCCCACACCATAATCCCCCCTCCACCAAACAACCCCACACCATAATCCCCCCCTCCACCAAACAACCCCACACCATAACCCCCCTCCACCAAACAACCCCACACCATAACCCCCCTCCACCAAACAACCCCACACCATAACCCCCCTCCACCAAACAACCCCACACCATAACCCCCCCTCCACCAAACAGCCCCACACCGTAATCCCCCCTCCACCAAACAACCCCACACCGTAATCCCCCCTCCACCAAACAACCCCACACCGTAATCCCCCCTCCACCAAACAACCCCACACCGTAATCCTCCCCTCCACCAAACAACCCCACACCGTAATCCCCCTCCACCAAACAACCCCACACCGTAATCCTCCCCTCCACCAAACAACCCCACACCGTAATCCTCCCCTCCACCAAACAACCCCACACCGTAATCCCCCCTCCACCAAACAACCCCACACCGTAATCCTCCCCTCCACCAAACAACCCCACACCGTAATCCCCCCTCCACCAAACAACCCCACACCGTAATCCTCCCTCCACCAAACAACCCCACACCATAATCCCCCCTCCACCAAACAACCCCACACCATAATCCCCCCTCCACCAAACAACCCCACACCATAATCCCCCCTCCACCAAACAACCCCACACCGTAATCCCCCCTCCACCAAACAACCCCACACCATAACCCCCCTCCACCAAACAACCCCACACCATAACCCCCCTCCACCAAACAACCCCACACCATAACCCCCCTCCACCAAACAACCCCACACCATAATCCCCCCCTCCACCAAACAACCCCACACCATAACCCCCCTCCACCAAACAACCCCACACCATAACCCCCCTCCACCAAACAACCCCACACCGTAACCCCCCTCCACCAAACAGCCCCACACCGTAATCCCCCCTCCACCAAACAACCCCACACCGTAATCCCCCCTCCACCAAACAACCCCACACCATAACCCCCCCTCCACCAAACAGCCCCACACCGTAATCCCCCCTCCACCAAACAACCCCACACCGTAATCCCCCCTCCACCAAACAACCCCACACCATAATCCCCCCTCCACCAAACAACCCCACACCGTAATCCCCCCTCCACCAAACAACCCCACACCGTAATCCCCCCTCCACCAAACAACCCCACACCGTAATCCCCCCTCCACCAAACAACCCCACACCGTAATCCCCCCTCCACCAAACAACCCCACACCGTAATCCCCCCTCCACCAAACAACCCCACACCGTAATCCCCCCTCCACCAAACACCCCCACACCATAATCCCCCTCCACCAAACAACCCCACACCATAACCCCCCTCCACCAAACAACCCCACACCGTAATCCCCCCTCCACCAAACAACCCCACACCATAATCCCCCCTCCACCAAACAACCCCACACCATAATCCCCCCTCCACCAAACAACCCCACACCGTAATCCCCCCCACACCGTAATCCCTCCTCCACCAAACAACCCCACACCATAATCCTCCTCCACCAAACAACCCCACACCATAATCCCCCCCTCCACCAAACACCCCACACCATAATCCCCTTCCACCAAACAACCCCACACCATAATCCCCCCTCCACCAAACAACCCCACACCGTAATCCCCCCTCCACCAAACAACCCCACACCATAATCCCCCCTCCACCAAACAACCCCACACCATAATCCCCCCTCCACCAAACAAAGTGGGCAAGACCCATAGGGCCCTGAATTCGCGTTCGCAAAAAACTGTTTCCCTCTTGCAAGACTGGGCCTTCTTTGGGCCTTCACTGTCTCTAACCCTCACCCTGTCCGTGGCTTGTTGCCCCACCGTCAGGAGTAGTGAGGAATATTCTATGATTGAAGCCAAAATATCCCAGTAACGGTCATTGCCGATGATGTCGTTCGGAGTCGCGTCATCAAGGTCCCGCCCACAGACTCATTCGCAAGCACAGCTGTCAATCATGATGTCACACCTCGTTTTTATAGCATCTAATAACTCTGTGGCCGTTTACACAACACCGTTTTCAACTAAAAGCTTTCTATGTGTTTTGGCTGTTCATTTACACAACAACGGCATTTTGTAGGCCTGAAAACCCAAACCATTGAAAACCGTATTAAAGTGCAAGTTTTTGAAAACAATACTGGTCTTGTCTCCGTGTAAATGAGAAAAACATGAATTTGTGAAAACAATGACGTGTTACGTGTTCAGTCTATAGGTGTGTTAGTAGTGTGTTTCCTTACAGAGTGACATTGCCACCTACTGGCCTGGCAGCAGAATACAGCGTTTTTAATCGGTTTCCATTTACACGACAACAATGTACTTACTGAGATGTTTTTCCTTCGTGTATTTCGCATTTCGCATTGCAAAATGATCCCTGCTCACACGGGATGATCCCTGCTCACCGTGTGAGCAGGGATCATTTTGCAATGCGAAATGCGAAATACACGAAGGAAAAACATCTCAGTAAGTACATTGTTGTCGTGTAAATGTGAGCAGGGATCATTTTGCAATGCGAAATGCGAAATACACGAAGGAAAAACATCTCAGTAAGTACATTGTTGTCGTGTAAATGTACCCTAAAACCAAACTTATTAGAAAAACAAACACTTGAACATATACGTATGCATGATAACTACCTAAAATCACAGACACCATCTTTGGAAAAAACTATTTGAAGTGTAATTGGATTTTTTTAGTTTGGATCACGTCCCAATGGATTACATGGAGTTTATGACCTATAACACCGACAGCCACCAGGGGGCGCTCGAAACGCTTCTGCTTCACTCTTCAGGACGCGTGCCGGAAGCAAACATTGTTCTTCTATGGTTCTTTTTAATCTGTCTTGAGCAAGGGGGTAATCCATCGACCGGAAGTTGAAGCCGCCCGGGTGCCGCCATCTTGTAGCAGAACTTCACTTGCGTTAGCATTTCCATTGACTCCCATTCATTTTGGCGTCACTTTGACAGCAAATAACTTTACATCTGAGGCGTTTAAAGACTCCATTTGTCCATTATTTATTTCTAAAGAAACACGACAATGTATAAAGGGCTCCATTACCTTCTATGTTACACTATGGCCCCGTAGAAACAGATTTAGTAAAAATAGGCTAACGATTGCGTCATAACCACTCGACTCTCTGTCGCGCTGTACAGAAATGACCGTACAGACAGGAGGAGAAGCTCGCAGGCGATCGGGGGGACGTCCCGTCAAGAGAGAAGCCCATAGATAATGAGTCCATAAAAGCACTGGAATACTTACTCCTGCTCACTCACGCCAAAGAACTCTTTGCTCAAGTTCCCCGTCTCTGCAACATTAACGTTGGCAGTTTTCACGCACAGCTACTAGAAGAGTAACGTCTGTCAGACAGGTTGCTCACGTCATCAAGCTTAGTTTGAGTCGGTTTGAGTCTGCGCGTCAGGAACGGAAGTGCTCAAAAATGGGCTTCAACTGTCTCAACTGAGCTCCAATGAGATGGCTCTGTCCACTTCTTATACTGTCTATGGTCTTGAGATGGTATGGAAGTAAAGTAGCCTAATGCCAAATGTTTTTGAAACAAAAAGGTTTGTTGAATTGCACTAATTGAAATAAATATACATTGCATCAACCTGTGCTTGCATTTTAATGGGCTGAAATTCAACATAGTTTAGTATTTAAGCTGTGAATATTTTAATTCAAAACATTTCACACACATTTTCATTATTAAAAATTCAAAAATGGATATTCACCTTTCAGATTTCACTTCCAAAATCTTCATTCTGTTTAAAAATACAACCTATAATATTCGACAGGCAATTTTCAGTCCATTTTATTTCGCTTTACAAATTCACTTCCACAAATTCAGTGGTTCAAATTCGACAGAAAATTCAACATTCCACATCCGGGAACTGCAGGAAAAGCAGTGGATTACCGATGCATAATCTCCATCTGCAGTTAGTCGAGCTCACCAGCAGGGGGTGCAAGCGGCTGTTGACGAAGACCAGAGCAACGGGTGAGAGAGTCATTCATTCATAAAAACAGATTTACAGAATTTGAGCAAGCATTTATTGAAAATTTAAATGTAAAAATACAA